CCGAGCAAAAGGGAGATCTTGGAAGATGATGCGGACCCTGCCTCTGTATCTTGTTTTACGGACGCGAGCTGGAGTCTGAATTCGGTAAGCGGCGGAATCATCACGTGGGAGAACTGTTCCCTGAAAAGCTTCAGCAGGAAACAAACGACTACCGCACTCTCAAGTGCGGAAGCAGAACTCGCTGCACTCACAGAGGTTGCTCGTGAAGGGTTGTACATTGCTTTGCTTGTGGAGACCATCCGCGAGGGTATGCCGAAAGACAGGGAAACCGGTTATTATGTTCTTAAGGGATATTCTGATTCCGAATCGGCGGTTTGTATATCGAAGATGCAGACCCTCCTGAGGAAAGTGAGGCACATCGAACTGCGTGCCGCATTCCTTCAGGAGCTGGTGGCCAGGGGTCGTTTTACCATAGAACACATACCGGGAGTGATAAACCCTGCGGACGCTCTCACGAAGAGCCCCACCAACGAAAGTTTGTCTAGCTTGTACGATGCCTCTGGCCTTGTAGATGAACCGAAGGCCTGGGAGAGTGAGCCTACTGCGGTGCACGTGTCTTTTGAAGAGCCCAATGAAAACGAACGTTTTACTCCGTCTGTTCCGCCTTCCTGGAAAGCCGCTGCTTTGAAGTTAGCTCGTGGTGAAGCTAAGTACGTAGTGGTTGAACTGTGTTGTGAAGAAGGAAGTGCGTTGTCCAAAGCCTGCTCGAAGGTCCCCGAGATCGCCTACTTTGGGGTGACTAAGGAAGTTGATCTTCTGAGCTATAATGGCTTGTGTCTTCTGAGAGAGGTTTTCGGAGTCGTAGCTGAGGGTGAGGTTAAGGTATATGCTCACTTGTCTACTCCGTGCTCTGCTGGGTGTGGTTTAAGGCATCTGAGGTTTAAGAAGGGAGGAAAGGCCCTGGAGAAGTGGAGAGCGGCTCTGGCCGTGCACAAGAGGTCCTGGAAAAGGATCGAGAAGCTGTTGGAGCCTTACGTGGGTTCCCCGAACCTTCTGCTTTCTCACGAGTGGCCTGAGAGGTCAGGACTGTGGGATGAGACTGTGTTTAAGAGGGTTTCTAAGAAGCTTCGTTTGGATCAGGGTTGCCTTGTGGATCGTTGTTGCTTTGAAAAGGGTGACCAACGACCTTGGAAAAGATGGTGGTTTGTGTCTAACCGCACAGAGTTTGTGTGGGGACTTTCGTCTCAGTGCTCTGAGGGACACGGTCACTACTACCTTCCTCTTCCTGAGTCAGGTGTGTATCCAGAGGGTTTAGGATTCGCTCTCCTGAAGAACGCGAAGAAGACTTTTGAGGAGAAGTGAAGAGGACTCTCGGGCATGAGGGGGTGTGAAAAGTTTTGCTCATTCCCGAGCCTTTCTTCATTGCACAAGTCCAAACTTGCTGACAACATCACGGCTTGGTTGGACGATGTCAGTGTAGATACTGAAGGCGCTCAAGCAGAGAAGACGGCACATCGGGCTGTTCAATCATACCACTTGTTGAAGCATGCCTTGCAGCAGGATGGACTCCACATGTCCATCGCAAAAACGTGTTTTGTCTGCACGGATTCACCATCCGAAAAATCTTTAAAAAAGCGTTTAGGCCCTGACGACCCGCCTATCTTGTCCCTAGCGCGCGACTTAGGAACGGATTACTCTGCAGCACGTCGTCGCAGGATTACAGTTGCAAAGGCTCGTCAAGCAAAGGGCCAGGCCAGAGCAGGGCGTATGCGATCGCTCAAAGTTCCCTCCTTGTCCCACAAGTGGAGACTGTACAAAGGAGGCATTTTTGCCTCTGCTGCTTGGGGTCATCAGGCTCAGGGTATCTCTCCGAAGCGTTTGAAGTGGCTGCGAGGGTGTGCTGCGCAGCAGTTGCAGCGACACAAGCTTGGCAGCCTTGATTTGCTTTTCGATTTGCATAGCAAGTTTGAGGACCCTCTTATCACTATCTTAGCACAGCACTTTGCCACGGTTGCTAAGGTTTTTCTTCGATGGCCGGAGACACTGTGGGGTCAGCTCAAAACTTCTTGGAGCAGCACGTGGAGCCGACTCCAGGCTTCGCCGCACCCGTGGAAATGTGTTTCTGGCCCAATGGCGGCTGCGCAAGCCTATCTCATGCAACTTGAGATCGATGCTCACAGTTTGGAGCATTGGAACTGGGATGGTGAGGTTTTTGCCTGCACTTGGAAGGAACCCGGTTTTAAGGCACTCCTGTGTGAGAGGGTTAAAGCAAAACTTCTACAACTTCGGCATGCCCGTATTGCGGCGTTTGTGGATGACCCTCTCCTTGCCGACGGTGTTGATTGGGCCAGCCACAGGACCAGAACACAGCGTGAAACCAAACACAAGCGCACCACGAAGTGGCTTCAAGCTTTGTGGCAAGGCGCAGTGCTTCATAACCAAAATGGGGGCACTCAACAATGCCCGCTCTGCCATTGCGATGCTTCATGGTCGCACGTACTCCTTGAATGCAATTACTGGGCCGGGCGCCATCGCGTCCCACCTGAATATTGGGCTGAGCTCAAGCAAAAATGGCCTTCGGACAGTTTGTGGCAGCGAGGGCTTGTGCCCCAAAAGTGGACGAGGCAGCATCGTCCAGAGTCTTCCTTGCATTTGCAACGCGAAGGTCTATGGAAGACCAACAGCAAGCTGAGTGCATCGTCTTATGTTTTCAGCACTGATGCCTCAGGAGGGCCGGATAGTGTTGACTCCCGTTTACGTATCGTTGCCTTTGCGCTGTTGGCTCTAACTAAAGAAGGTGATGAGCTCACCTGCGTTGCATCAATCACAGGTTTTCTTCCAGTCGGCTCGTCGGTTGCAGAAGGCGAAACACATGCGTTGCGACTCCTAGCTGATAATGTCGATGGCTTTGCAGATGTCACATGTGACTGTCAAACGGCCATTAAGAAATCCCATAGACTTGATAATCTTGATTGTCATTGGGTTCGGTCGCACCAATCTGCAGATGCTTTCAAAAAGGAGTTTGGGGCTGACCAGTTGTGGCGCATGAAGGCCAACACTTTAGCTGATGATAAATGTGGTAAGCTTGCTGCAACCCTTGTTGATGTCAACTTTAAAAATGATGTGCAGGAGTTGGACCGTCTAGCTCAGCAGGTCTCGACTTTTCTTGCGGAACGTGTGGAGCTTTTGTTGACTTTCAAAAAAGATCCTGCCCCCTTGGTTTTTGAAGAAAAACGAGGAGCGGCGAGATTAGCCAGTCAGCGAGAGTCACAGTCCCAACGAGCCATACCCCATCGTGCTGCATCCCAGGCCGTTCGATGCCCTGTCATCAGGCCTGTGTCGGGTGACACAGAGAGACAACACTTGGTAAGGCAGGGACAAGCTTTTGTTAAGACTAAGGTCCCACCGAAGCCCAACAAAAAACAGAGGTTGCAGGCTATGTTGGCACACCCTGATTCCACTTTGGGTCATGATTGGAAAGCTTGCGAAACTAAAGCGGTCAATAACTTTGCTATTCAATGCACTGTGTGCCAACTGTATATTGAACAATGCAACTCTCTTGAAATTTTCGATCGCAAATCGTCCCACCCATGTGTGAACATTTCAGCTTGTATGCCTGTGTCTTGGAAAGTACATTCCACTCACAACATGGATAACAAAGGATCGTTTTTCACCTGCACTAAGTGTCTTGGCATTGCAAAAATCGCATCAACCTCAGTTTCAGCGGTGCTTCAAGCTCCCTGCCAAGGCCTCGGACGCAAGATCAACTCCAAAACACAGGCGCGCACTTTGTCTGTAGTGGAGAGCTCTGGTAGCAGATCAATCGAGGCAGTCTGGCAACAAAGTCAGCCCCAGGTTGCTGCTAGTGAAACCAATGCCCAAGTACCACAACCTGCTAGTAAAGCTAAGGCAAAGGCTAAACCCAAAGGGAAACCCAAAGCAAAGTCCAAAGACTCCGCACAACAAACACGTCTTTCCTTCAAGTAGGCGGTGTGAAGCCCTTTTGAAAGGTTCCCTTTGAAGGTCGGTGTCATAACATAGTCCCCACTTGGCAAGTCCCCAGCTGGTGTGCGCTTGCCCGCTGCACCCAAAAATTTACAATTGGGTTGATGAATATGCCATTCACCCGAATTCGGGCCTTGTGGGGAGTACGTCTTTGATGGTTTGGACACATGTCCAGGGTTAAATTCCTTTGATAGTGCATCGGTGTGCGCTGTCGCCAGCACCCGTAATGCCTGTTGTTCAATTTGGGTTGATGAAGATGCCTTGTACCCGACTCGGGCCTCGCTGGGAGTGCAACCTATTAGGCTGCTTTCCACTGTAACAGCTAAAGCCTGGGGTCTGCTGCATAGGTGTGCGCCCTGTTGGCTGCACCCTTACAAAAAAAAAAAATCCGGACTACTATGATCCCTTTGGTGGCCTCGTGTGCGAGGAGGGTCCAAATGCAGATTAAAGCTGAAGTTGGATGTGTACGCTGGCATGCTGCACCCAACACACAGGTTGCCTGGTTGGTGAATATGCCTTTCCCGTCTCCGGGCCTCATGGGGAATGTTCCACCTGGAGCTTTTCGTTACCAGGGCAAATGGATTGTGGCAATTCTTCTGAGCCTAGGTGTGCGCCCTGTTGGCTGCACCCTTATCGTCAGGACTGGAACACACCAAAACGGCAAACTTGGAAAGTCTAGATATGCGCCTGTTACACCCAACTTTCCCACAGCCCTTGTCAATGCTGCTGAACTTCTGATGAATATGGCACTTGTACTCGACTTTGGGCCTTCTGTGAACTCAGGTCTCGCTTTTCAGGCCATTCTTGATGGCAGCTAGGCATGCTGTTTGGGTAGTCCAATGTCGGCTGGACTGGAAAAGCCGGCATCGAGTCTCCGTCTGAGCAGTGGGTTCAGTGACACGTGAATGGAGGCTACTCCCTTGGGCTGCTGTTGCAGGGAGTGGTGTGAGCACTAGGCGTGCTCATACCACTGCTTGCTGCGCTGTGTACAGTAGCGGTAGGCGTAGTTTTGCTAGGCTGGCTGTAGCTTTTGGCTAGTTGTACAAAGTGTACAAATGCTGCTGCTGCTGGTCTTTGGAGAGTGGCTGGGCTCTGGACGAAGCGACTGGGCAAGTGACCTGGTACTGGACTTTACGTCCCTTGTGCCGAGCTTCTACTCTGGCTCCTTTGAGAGTGTGCAATGCGGTGCACCTTGCCTGCATGCCCGTTGATATTCGTGGCTCGTGCACCGTTATGCGTTGCAACGCAAGGTCCAGAACTCTGTGTGCAACAGTCTCGCTCTGTTACCTCCGGGTGACAGGGCGAGACTTCCGTAGACAGTTTGCTCTGTAGATCAGTGTTGCTTTAGTTTGTAGTTCCTTTTCACCTGGCCTTGGAGCCGCGTCTGCAGACCGCTTCGAGAGAAAAGTTTTGCTTGGCAACCTCCCAACGGAGATTGGGAGGAACGGGGGATAGGAGTAGGCCTAGCGGAGGACGCCTTAAACAAGGCTGCCCTCCTCCTTTTGCTGTCAGAGTACAGCCCAGACCGAACTTGCCGCTACGGCGGCCGCGACTCAGAGCGCAAGACCGAGAAAAGTTTTGCTTGAGGAAGTTTCCCATGGGCGTTTCCGGGGTACCGGTTCACCCACCGCAGCAACCGACCGGGAACTTGACTACCTTCTGGTCTCGTCTCCGGCTGTCGCTTTCCTGCAAGTCGCTCAGGACTGGGTCGTCCCCTTTAAGCCTCACTGCGCTCTGCGGGCCACTCTACAGCTCAGCTCTCTGCAGCTTCCCTATCCGCAACTCGCTACCTTTTGTGAGGTCTTTCCTGACCCCTTGCCCTTTCAACCCTCGGTCCCGAGCCCCTCGCCTACCGCGGAGGTTAACCTTCTTGGCCTCACATCCACCGACAAGCTCACTCTCGACTTCGCAGAGTTGAGCTCTTTCCTCGAGGTCTCTCACGGGTTCCCCGACCGAGGGCGAGGGGCTTTTGTTCCCTTTCTTCACAAGCCCCTTGTCCAGGGCCACTCTGTTACCTTTGCCTGGAAAGGCCAGCTTCCCTCCTTGGTGTCAGCCTTGCTTCACCTTCTTGACCGACCCGACGCTGTGCAGTCCCTCTTGTGGTCCTTTTTGGACACTTCCCTCCCCTCCGAGGTCCGCGCCTTTTGTGACCGGGTGAGCGACGGCTCTGCTTCTTCCGCCACCCTCCGCGCCGAAGGCACTGCCCTCCTTGGTCAACTCCGGCGCGAGCAAACTGCCCAGCAAGCTGACCAGTACGGTGAGTGGCTGGAGGAAGCTTCGAGTTCGCACCTGGGGCCGCTCTTTCGAGCTATCAAGTCCCATGAGCAGGTGCTTGATCGGCCCTTTCAAGACTGCGATGGACTTCGCCGTGTCTTTGAACGGCATGAGCATTGGGCCCGCGTCTGGCAAGCTTCGGTTTTTCCCCAGCACTTTGCTCACCCTCTCCTCGCGGAGCTCCGCTCGAGGGCCGTCTCCCATTCTGGCACCCTGGCTCCCTTGACTGTTCCCCACCTTCAGAAACTTCTCAAGAAAGCCGGGAAAAAGAAAGGGGGCCCGGACGGCTGGAGCTACCCAGCCCTTCGGGCACTGGACCCGGCAGCTCTTCAGCTCGTTGCCGACTTCCTCGCCCGTGCGGAGGCTGAGGTGCTTCTGCCTTTCCAGCTCACCTGCGTTCAGGTCGCTCTTCTCCCGAAGTCGGCCGACAAGGAACGCCCCATAAGTCTTCTACCGTGTCTGTGGAGATTGTGGGCACGGGCTAGGTGGCAGGACATCTCGGCTTGGACGTCGGCTTACGCCCCCGCCCACCCGTGGGACCGGGCGGTTCCAGGCCAGGCAAGCCTGGACACGGCACTGGCCCGCCTTGTCAGATCAGAGCATTCAAAGCTCGAGAGGACGCACATTGTGTCGCTCTTCCTCGATTTGCGAGGCTTCTTCGATTCTGTGAGCTATGAGCGCCTTCTCCTCCAAGGGCTCGCTCACAGTTTCCCTCCTCTTCACCTCTGGTTCGCCCTCCAGGTCTACCAGGGTCCTCGCTGCCTTGTGGCCGACTCGATCGCTGCCACGCCGCTCTTTCCTGGCCGGGGCGTGCCCCAGGGTTGCCCTCTCGCTCCCTCGCTTTCCAAACTCACCATGTCCGAGCCACTCCAGAAGGTTTCTTCCCTTCCCTTCGTCACCAACACAGACTTATGGTTGGACGACGTGAGTTTAGACGTGGTGGGTTCCGACCCTGTCGAGGTCGCTTCCTCTGCGCTTCAGGCCTACCGGGTACTTCATACCTCCCTCGGCCTTGAGGGCCTAGAGGTTGAGACCACAAAGACCAAGTTCGTCGCCGGTACGGCCCGCGCTCGCGCCGCGCTTCAGCAGCTGCGGCGCCCGGGCGAACCCGACACCGCCGACCTGGTTACGGCATCGGCCGAGTCCGCCACATGCGCCGCCTCCGCATACGCCGCAGGTGGGTGCGTGGCCGGCTGCTCCAAGCCTCCGCCCTTAAGGCTGGCCTTTATGGCCACCAGGCCGTTGGGGTTGCCCCTAAGCGCCTTAAGGTCTTACGCTCGGCGGTTGCGCGCGAGGCTGGTCGTTTCGAGCACGGCTCCGCCGACGTCATTCTCGACCTCATGTCCCACAAGGCCGTTGACCCACACCAGCTTGTGGTTGTGGAACAGCTCCAGGCCCTTGGGCGCCTTGCCTCCAGCGCCTCACCCGAAGGCGTGCGGTTACTCACCCGCACTTGGGCCTCCTCCTGGTCCAGACAGGCCTCTGCCACCCATGGGTGGAAAATCGTGAACGGACCCGTTTCCGCGCTCATCCAGTACTTACTGGACTTGCGGGTGTCTGCCCCTACCCCTGAGGTCTGGACACACCGCGAAGCTACCTTTCACTTCCGCTTCCGCGATCCGGGAGCGGTTTTTGAGGCCTCTGCTTTCTTACGCCGGGTCATACAGCTCGAGCGCTGGTCCCGTATCGGCACCGTCTCCACTGCCGCTGGTGCCGCCTTAGGCATCGATTGGACCGTGCCCCGCCGCCTCTTAGCCAGTCCTCGGACGAAGCCCTGGCGGCATGGCCTTAGGGCCGTCTTTCAAGGCGCCCTCCTCCACTCTGGCAACGGAGGGAAGGAACGGTGCAAGTTCTGTGGCGGCCCCAACACCCTGCACCACCTCCTTTACGAGTGCGAAAACATCCCCGGCGCCCTCATGCCCGCGGGCTGGCTGCTGTCCTACAAGCGGCGCCACCCTGCCGACTGCCTTTGGTTGCGCGGTATGCGCCCCCTTTCCACCCGCGAGCCCCTCGCCCGCGAGGCTGAGGTACGCCGTACTGGCCTCTTTCTCGAAGGCACCCCTGACTTAACCGGGCTCTGCGTTGCCACCGACGCTTCCGGAGGCCCTGCCTCCAAGGATAGTCGCCTCCGCTCGGTCGGCTGGGCCGTGGTGGTTGCCAGCAGGAGTGATGGCGACCTTGTCGTGCTGGGCACCCTGTCCGGGCTTTTGCCTGCCCCTGCTTCTGTGCCGGAGGGCGAGAGCGAGGCCATTGCTCAGGTCCTCCTCTCTTCCAGAGGCACTTTTGACCTCACCTGCGACTGCCAGCCCGCCCTGCGTAGCCTCCAGGGGCCCTTCACGAAGCGCACCTCGCTTGTGTGGGCCAAGGCTTGGGAACACAGGCACCGAGCTGAACCCCACTGGGTGCGCTCTCACCTTAGTCCCTCGGACTTTTGTTTTGAGTTCGGCGCTGAAGCCCTGTGGCGCCATGAGCTCAATTCTCTGGCGGACAAGCTCGCCAGGGACCGCGCGGAGGAGGTTCAGACTCCACACCGTCTTGCCGCCCAGAAGGAGGTAGACCGTGTCACCTCCCTCGTTTGCGAGTATCTCGGTCACCGCGCGGTCGCAATTTTGGCCAAGGCCGAAAAGGAGGATTTCGTGCCGCGGAAGAACCGCCTCCTCTCCGCTCTTGAGCCCTCCTCTTCCCCCTCGCCCAACAAGAGGCAGAGGTTGCAGGCCCTTCTTGACGAACCCCCTCTCCCGGGAGGGCACGTTTGGTCTCGCACCTCTAAGGAGAAGAGTTTCAACATGTGTGTTAAATGCTCCGAGTGCTCCCTTTGCATCTACCAGGTTGACACGCCGGAAACCTTTGAGCGCCTCATTTCATTCCCGTGCCGAACGGCTGCGGTTTCGTGCCCCTTTCCGGTCCACCCCTCGCACAGTCTTGTGCGCCAGGGGCCGTCCTGGAAGTGTGGCCAGTGCCATGGCCAAGTGACTCTTCGCATGGGCGTCGCGCCAAAAAAGCTCGTAGCGCCTTGTGCGCTTCCTTCGGTGTGGGGGTTTTTCTCTACGGGTTCCCCCTCCCCTGGGCTCCAGGCTTCTCCTTCTGCCTCTGCCGCTGCCCCTAAGATCCCCTCCGTGCCTTGCTCCTGGGGTTCACTTCAGGGTTCTGCGTCTGCTTCTGCCCTCACTTCGGTTGAGGTTCCAAACCCCCAAGCCTCCCCTTTCGAAGGCCCCAGGTCTCCTTCGGAGGTTCCCCGGGCCCAGGCTCTTGCTAGCCCTGGTTTGGCACTTGAGGCCCCAGCTCTACAGGCCCCAGGCTTCGCTCTTCCTAGTGCCCCCGCCTCCAAGCCCAAAGCTAAGCCTCGTCCCAAGCCCAAGCTCAAGCCTTCCGCCGCGTGCCCTCCAATCACTCAGTTCTTCCGCTAGCTTCGGCTCAAGAAGGGCGACCATGGGGCCCAAAGGAAAGGGTCGTCACGCCCACGAACAGCAGGAGCGTTTCGACCAAACGGGCATATGGCACAGCACGAGCAGCCTGTCGAGACGCAAGCTGCGTCCCGATAAGGCTGCAAGAGCTAAAGCCAAAGCTCGCCAGGAGCATGACCGTGAGCGGGTGCAGGCGAATCCGCCTCCCGCACCACCACCGGCTCCTCGCCGAAGGGCTGAGGTCGAAGACGACGAGGACCAACCCCTTCCCTGGTCACGTCGCGTGACAAACCGCACGACGGCCAGTAAGTCGTCAGGCTCTGCCGGCCCCTCGCCCCCAGTGGCTGAGGTTGCAATGGAGGTGGAGTCTGCGGACTCCTCCCCGTCCTCCTCCCCGCAGCCTGCCCCAGCGGCAGTGGCGACCAGGCCGGCAGACAACCCCCCCCTCCCACCCCCCGTTGCCAAACCCAACCCCCCCCGCCCCCCCCCGCCGAAACGCAAAGATCCGGATGTGCTCTATCTCGAGATCGAAACAAGGCGGGGGGGGCAGGGCGATTGGCATCGCCTCACGCTCAACCCGCTCTCCTCGTTGCAGTTTCTCCTCGGAGAAACGTCGCGACTGGCGGGCTTTACCTGCCGCAGCGCGCGAATATGGCCGGACGGTGGGTTCCTCGGAACCCACCGGGCCGTAGGATCGCAACTCCAGCCAGGAGTTCGGTGGTTGCTCGTGGACGAGCACGAGATCGCGGCTCATGACAGCCCGCATCTCGCGGTGCCGCCCTCGCCCCTGGTGGCTGAGGTCCCCCAACGAGAGGTGGCACCAGAGCTCCCCCCAGCAACCTCCTCGCCTCCGGCTGAGGTTTCCCTCCCCTGTGCTGCTTCTCTGGCCACACGTGGGTCTTCCCCGCTCCCGGAACCAACTGGTCCACCGATGAGCTTTCACCCCCGTAACCGTGGGCCTCCCGCACAGGTGGAGCACTCAGTCACTGCTGGAGTTGCCTCCTCAGCCCCGGCCGGCCCCCGGCCCTCTCCGGTGGCTGAGGCCTGTCCCCCGACAGGTCCTAAGAGCCTTTCCTCGCCTTCGGCTGAGGTCGCTTCCCCTTCCCCGGCTCCTCCTCGGCAGCCGGATGTGGAGTCCGCCTCCTCGGCCCTAGCTCAGGCTCCGCGGGTTCGCCTTTGGCTGAGGTAGCAACCTCTGGTTCAGTGGGCCCCGAGCCCAAGGCTACCGCCCGGCCTCTCTCAGGCCCTCCTGGTACCTTGTCAAAGAAGGGTGAACCTGCCCCACACACACCCAGTGGCCCGGGTAAAGGGGCCACAATCTCCACCGCTGCTTCGGCAGCTGCAACTGCCTCCACAGCTGGGTCTCTCCACGGCCCCGCCGGACCCTGCAGAGCCAGAGCTCGCTGGCCTCGCAGCGGTTGCCGAGCAGAGAGGGGCCAGTCCTAGCTTCCCGAACCCCTCGGGGGTCTCAGGTGACGAAGCGACGGACTCTCCAAGCTCGTCTCCTCGCCGGCCGGCTAGAGGTCCGGCTCCAGCTGAGGCTCGTCAAGAGCCGGCCCACGTGCAGGTCTTCAGCGAGAACTTCCTCCGCTGTTTTGCATGCGGCGTCACTACTTCCAATCAACAACTGATGGAAGCCCATGCAATGACCTCCAGGCACGTCCGCCTTACCACGGCCTATGTGGCCAAGCGAAGGCGCGAGCTGGCAGCTGCCCAGGCTGCCCAGCCTTCCGTGCCGTAGGCCCCGAGCCTTGGCACTCGTCTCCCCAGGCACACCTCAGGCTCCTTCCTCGCCTTTTGGCTGAGGTTCGACCCTCAGCGGTGCTTGGAGGGCCCCGGGCACCCCTTGGTCCTTTCCTCGCCTGTTCGGCAGGTCTGCTTCTGAGGCAGCCTGCTCGGGCTCCGGTAGAACCCCGCCTGTACAGACTTTGGTAGGGCCTACGGGTGTAACTAGCCACCTGTAGTCCAGGACGTAGGGCCGCCCTTGCCCAAAGTGGCTGAGGTTTCTCACCAGAATGCATGCTGAATTCATCTTCGGACACGTCTACGACGGCTTGCAGCTCGGCGACGAAAAGTTTTGCTTGGCTCAAGGCTGTGAGTGCTCAAACCTGCAGTGCCGTCGTGGCCGCCCAGCCTCGAGTCCGTAGCTAGTGCTTTGGCTCCGTAACAGGCTCAAACCCAACCATTGCTTTTCCTGCCCCTGTGGGCTCGGCGCGTGGGAGGGGTAGTGGCAGCCTTGACCGACGGTCAAGGGCAGTAGTTTAGCGCAATAGCACATCCTTGCCGTCCTTGCACTACTCCTGTTGTACACTTCACCAGGTTCCTGGTCGCTGGAAGCTTTGCTTGGACGAAGACAGTTGTCGAGGTGCCCTGACCTTGCCTTCGTGCTGCACCTTCGGCTCCTCGCCTTTGTGGCTGAGGCACTAGTCCGTTTTTCCTCCCTTCACTGAGGTGGACGGTGTCTTCTAAGGTGAGGTTTCTCTTGAGCTGGTTGAACTGGTCTTCTCCTGTCCCAGACGCAGGGCCCCTTTGTGGATCTGACCGTGGAGAGCGGCAGATTTGCCTTGCAAGCTGCGCCAGGAGCACCAGGGTTCTTAGGGCAACCACTTTTTAGTCGTAAGCGTCCCTCGAGGTGCTACAGGCTTTCCTTCGGGTTCCCTCGGGACGAGACAGTGGTTCCTCCCAGTCTCCTGCAGTACCATACTGCAAGCCCCTTCCCTCCCTCGCCTACTGGGTTGAGGTGGCGTTGTGCTGCCTCCCGCCGTTGGGGTTTAGGATAGGTTAGGGAGGACTCTTTCTTGCTTGGCGCCTCCGTGCCGCCGGGCTCCCACTCAGCTTTTCTGGCCTGTGATGCAGTGTCGTCTCTCCCCTGGCGTAACTCCCGCAGCTTTTGCGACACTTCGCCTACACTGCTGGCCTGGAGCTGTTTTGGCTTTTGTTGCTTTAGGTAGGATTTGCTCGCTCTTGCCTGTTTTGCGGAGAAGGTCCCGCTGCAACTTAAGGGGTTCTTTTGTTATGCATTTCGTTTGGTCCCAGACGTGCGTCGCGTGTTATGGCCCTTCACATGAGCATGGGCGCCAAGGCCAGGAGCCTCATTCAGCCTGCTTGCCCGGCGGGATTCGGGTGCGAGCTCTGTATACCCCGCCGCACAAGGTTTTATCCTTGCACGCCTGAGGTTGGTGTTGGCAGTCATACTGTTCTCCGTGGGCTGAACAGTCCCTGGCTTTCCTCCCTGCAGCACCTTTGGCTTCCTGGCCCCGTTCTTTCTGTTACCTGCCTTGGGTTTTGGGTTGCAGGCCCTGTTCCTCCCTCCGGAGTTTCTCAGGGGCAGGTCTGTTTTCTGCCCATCCTCTTCCATTGCGGCTGAGTGGCACAGCGTTGTTCCCTGCGCTTGAAAATTGAAGGGAAAGCGTCGTTCCCTGCGCCTCGTTGAGGGGAATGCGTGGGCCCCGCGCTTAAGTCCAAATTGAGGGGCTGCAGCTCTGTTGCTGTGGCTGCAGATGGGCAGTTGGCAGCTCGTCTCGGCTTGCTTGCGCTTGCAGATGAGCCTTCAGGTTTGGTTGTTTTCTTTAGGCCCTTTTGACCCTTCCGTTTCCTCCCCCGGGCCAAGGGAGTCGCGCTCCTTCGGTCTTTTTTCGGCCAGCAATGCCCACTCAACCTGCCTGTGTGCTTGGTGGACCGTGGTGTTGTGCAGCCCAGTGGCAGTGTAGCTGAGGTTGCCCCTGTCCCTCGCCCCTGGGCCCAGCCCTCCTCGCTTCTGGCTAAGGTTCACCTCGTACTTTCACTTCTCCCCGCCGTTCTCCTTCCTAAGGGCGTTTGGTTGCGATTGGCGGGGTTTAGGATACTCTTTACGAGCCCCTGGAGGTTCCTCTCCAGCCGCTCCCTCAGGGTCCCCTCTCTTGAGGTTGGCTTCGCCCAGGTTAAGGGCAGCTGCTCTGGCACCTCACCTCTGGGTTGAGGCTCCTCACCTTCTAGGTTGAGGTTCGTCACTTTCTGAGGCTTTCGAGCCGGGGCACAATTTTCACCCCCTCTGAGGCTACAGAAGCCAGGACCCCGTTTTTACCCTGGGACCTGCCGAAGGCATCCCAAAGGTGGTACTGAAACCCTGTACAAAGGTAGGGCATCCGCCCCTCGCCTTACTGGCCGAGGTTGCCGTAGCCCTTCACCCAATAGGGGTCTGAGGTACTCACCCTTCTGCATGGAATTCACGTGTTGAGACCTCGTCTACGACGGCCTCCGCGCTCGGCGAATGAAAAGTTTTGCTCACTTCGTTTGGTGCCAGTCGTGCGTCGCGTGTTATGGCCTTCACATGAGCATGGGCGCCAAGGCCAGGACCGTCACTCAGCCTGCTTTTGCCCGGCGGGATTCGGGTGCGAGCTCTGTATACCCCGCCGCACAAGGTTTTATCCTTGCACGCCTGAGTTTGGTGTTGGCAGTCATACTGTTCTCCGTGGGCTGAGCAGTCCCTGGCTTTCCTCCCTGCAGCACCTTTGGCTTCCTGGCCCCGTTCCTTTTGTTTACCTGCCTTGGGTTTTGGGTTGCAGGCCCTGTTCCTCCCTCCTGGGTTTCTCAGGGGCAGGTCTCTTTTCTGCCCGTCCTCTTCCATTTCGGCTGAGTGGCACAGCGTTGTTCCCTGCGCTTGAGAATTGAAGGGAAAGCGTCGTTCCCTGCGCCTCGTTGAGGGGAATGCGTGGGCCCCGCGCTTAAGTCCAAATTGAGGGGCTGCAGCTCTGTTGCTGTGGCTGCAGATGGGCAGTTGGCAGCTCGTCTCGGCTTGCTTGCGCTTGCAGATGAGCCTTCAGGTTTGGTTGTTTTCTTTAGGCCCTTTTGACCCTTCCGTTTCCTCCCTCGGGCCAAGGGAGTCGCGCACCTTCGGTCTCTTTTCGGCCAGCAATGCCCACTCAACCTGCCTGTGTACTTGGTGGACCGTGGTGTTGTGCAGGCCAGTGGCAGTGTAGCTGAGGTTGCCCCTGTCCTTCGCCCCTGGGCCCAGCCCTCCTCGCTTCTGGCTAAGGTTCACCTCGTACTTTCTCTTCTCCCCGCCGTTCTCTTTCCTAAGGGCGTTTGGGTGCGATTGGTGGGGTTTAGGATACTCTTTACGAGCCCCTGGAGGTTCCTCTCCAGCCGCTCCCTCAGGGTCCCCTCTCTTGAGGTTGGCTTCGCCCAGGCTAAGGGCAGCTGCTCTGGCTCTTCACCTCTGGGTTGAGGCTCCTCGCCTTCCTGGTTGAGGTTCGTCACTTTCTGAGGCTTTCGAGCCGGGGCACAAAGTTTTCACCCCCTCTGAGGCTACAGAAGCCAGGACCCCGTTTTTACCCTGGGACTTGCCGAAGGCATCCCAAAGGTGGTACTGAAACCCTGTACAGAGGTAGGGCCTCCGCTCCTCGCCTTACTGGCCGAGGTTGCCGTAGCCCTTCACCCAATAGGGGTCTGAGGTATTCACCCTTCTGCATGGAATTCACGTGTTGAGACCTCGTCTACGACGGCCTCCGCGCTCGGCGAAAGAAAAGTTTTGCTCGAGGCCCAAGTGAACCAGCAGGCCAAAAGGGGAGTCCGACTCACCCAAAAAGTGAGGAGGGCCCTTCTAGGCCAACATGGCCGGTGGAAGTGGGGGACACACCCCTGCTCCTCTTCACGCCACATGTGAAGAGGTCTCACAACACTATCCACTGGCTTGCTCAGGTTGGGGACTCGCTAGCCCTACGGGGTTTCAGCGACTGCTATGCCCTCCTTGGAATAGGGGGCAGCCGGGCAACCTTCGAATGCCCGGGAAATCCCGCCTTGTGCTGGAAACTTACGTCCAGCGAGCAGGAGCCAAACCGCCGATCTGGCCATGGGCCAGAGAGTCGCCTAGGGCAAGTCATCCCCGGGATATGCGCGAGCAAGACCCGGGAGGTGGGCCCTGGAATCCTCCAGATTGGTACATGGGGCAAGGTGCCTGTGACCATTTTGGAGGTGGAACGGCTAAGCCCAATGTACCCAGAA